ATACTTGGTTGGTGATTATGAAATGTACATTAGGGTGGTCGGAAATTATAAATTAAATAAAAAAATTTTTTTCTAAAATTCTAACGTTTTCCAAAAATTTTTTTAGACAATGGCAAATAAGGGAATAATGAAAAATATTTGTAATTATTTTGTATCAAAAGATTTCTTTATTTTTCGAACCAGTTGATACGAGTTAATGCTTTTGGTAATGTTCATTACGGTGGTCGATATTTTTTAAAATACTTTTTTTTAACAAGCAGAAGGGAAGGTTATAAGATTATTGTGAAAATCTTTAATTTCAAACTATTTATCTTTAATTAAAAAATTTCATATTTTATATACATTTTTTTTGAGTTTAAAAGCTGTTGAAAGTTAAAGAAATTTTTTTTTACTGCTAAAAATAATTTTTTTGACAAGCAGATATGAAGGAAATACTTAAGCTTTTTTATTTCAAACTTCTTTTCTTTAATTAAAAAATAATAATTTTTTTTTGATTAATATTCTTTTTTAATTTTAAAAGTTGTTCACTACAATAAATTTTATATATTTTATTTTCACAAATAGTTTTGACAACCAGAAAAAAATATTGAACTAAATGAAGAGTTTTGTTGTTGTTTTATCCGAAAATTTTTATCTTTTAAAAGCTGCCAATAGAGCTTTAAAGCTTTTAACGCGTATCATTTCTATTCAAATATTTGTATATAGAATGTTTTTTGTTTAGCAAGCCGAAGAAGGTTTACTGAAGGAAATGTTAGTAGTTACTACAGCCTTTTATACTTGTATATTTGTCTAATTTTGTGAGCTGCCACTACAGCTTTAAAGCTTTTCATGTTGTATTCTATATGGAAACGCAAACTTTTTGTAATATTTTCGTATGAATTAAAAAGAAAAAGAAAATTTCAACCTATCATAAAAATTAATATTAGAAAATGCTAATTGTTGCTTTACTTTTTAATTTATTTTCAATTATTAATCGCGTCGAAGAGGTTTATTAAATTTTGTTTTCTTACTTTAAAGTGCTTTAAAAATATTAAAAATAAGAAAAAACGTTAACCTTCCCTTCATCATTTACAACTAAAAAGTTTTCCATATAAGAACTTGATTCTGTGGCAAATAATATCCTGCGCAGGGTATAGTATATATGTTTTAAATAAATAAATCTATTTCACTAAAAAAGTTTTTGAGTAAAAAAGTCTAACTGAAATTAGTGTTTAAAAAACAAATAATATTAACTCTTACTAGTAAAAATATGAGCTTCTAATGAGACAAAATTAAAAACAATAATACTTTTCATACCAATATTTCATTTTATTGAATAAATGTAATTAATTCTTCGATAAATTCAAGCGCATTATTATTAATAATAATTTGGACGCACCTAAAGTTAGTTGGCAAAACTCATAAATTCATTATATTAAATATATCTTGTGGAATTCGTAAAATATCATTATAATTAATCCTGTTTTAATGTTGTATAATTTTTCGATTTTTAAAAAAAAAAAATTGCGACTACCCTAATGCACATACTAGGAAAAAAATTGAAGAAGCAGAAAATGCAAATATATAAATATATACAAACATATAAATATTCATTCAATACATATCTACGCCTACTGTTACCAGCTACGACAACAGCATCGGCGAGCGATAAGGATAATTGTGCCAATAAAATTGCGCACTTGATGTCGGCCGACGTTCGCTGCCACATAAAATCATAGTGCAATTCACCACACACATGCATATATACATAAATATGTACATATGTATTACATGCATGGGTTTGCTTTGACCGTCGTACTCGGCGTTACGTGCCTTTCTCTACGTGCATATGTTGCTTGCTGCACATTAGTTGCAGTCTGCTATAAGCTTGTATTTGTGTCTGCAGTTGTTGGTTTGAGTATTGCTGTACGGATGCTGTTGCTTCAGCTGCTCAACTCTCACAATTGCTTCGATTACTTTACTTTGGCTGTTTGCTTGGCTTTTTTTCGTTGTTAAAGTTTCGCCTTTGCTGTGCAATTACGCACATAAATGTTCAAAAATATACAAGTTTATAGCAACACACATACACATGTATGTATATTTGCACCCATTCATGCCTGTAATACGCATAACAATGTAAAGTATATGCTTTGTCGGCCACTCGATATTTTTCGATAATCTCTACATGCACTGTGATGCCTGATCACAAATATATAATATATAGATCTGTTTAAAATATAAGATAAAAGTCTAGAGAGGCTTAAAATTTGCCTAATGATTTATTATGTGTTTTTAATTAACATTTGAACTCAGTACATTTTAGCTGCAAATCGTTATAGTATAACTCCGAGAGTAGTCGTAAAATCGTAAAAATTTTAGGATTTATACCAAGAGATTTTTAGAAAGACAGGAAGATAATTATATTTGTTTTTTTTATAATGAGTGGCTTCTTTAAACTGACCTCAAACACACTAATTATTGCGTCATGCTACTCGATTATAGTAGCTATTATGCTTGCGTTGGACACTATAACAGATTTTTACTTTGCGGAAGGCCATTAAAGCCAGTTGCAAGAACACTAAATGCAGATAACAATTCTGAGTTTAAAGATTTTTATATATTTTTTACGCCTTACTGTTAAAAAGTAATAAGAAATATTGCAACGCATGATTTATGAGGAGTCTAGTTTATAGAATATGCAAATATTTCTGTGAAAGCCATAAGGTCTTGAGCCATTGGGGTTGTTAATACGTCTCTGTAGATATGTATTGTGAGATTGTTTTATCGCACTAATATTACAGTAAAGTGATAAGAGTCGTTCTGAATATCATTAATAGATAGTCGTACAAATATTAGAGAGATAATATTAGTTTAAATCTTTGAAATTGGCTCAGTTTCATAGATCGATTCAACACATTCCTATAGTTAATTTGGAAACTAAGCAAAGCCCAGTCGTGAGCCTAATGTTGCTACATTCTACATTTATAGCATTTTTAAAAGCAATATTTTGTATAAAAAACCCAAATATCAGCTGAATTAAATCCTCTACTTTATTGCTTTGCTTCACAGTTGTGAAACTGCTTTGTTTGCGACTAACGCCAGTAGCACTTCCGGTTTGTTTCGCGCCGTCTACAATATTGAAGTGTAAAAGTTCACAAAGACACTTTATGTGTTTTGCGCCGACATATCGGCAATATTTTATAATAGTTTAAACAATATGTGAGAGCGTATTGAAATTTTTCAAAAGCATATTTTTTTTTAAATTTTGCGTTTCACGACTGAAATTTAGCTTGCATTGCTGCTGTTGCGCTTTTACAACTCCGCTGTGATATGCGTCAATAAAGGCGGCGGCAGCAGCTGGCCACGCTGGCTGACAGCGCTGTTGCACCAAAAAGCATGCTATGAAAATTGGAAAGTATGTATGTAAAGCCGCCTGTGTTTTATAGTTGAAACGTGGCGGTAGTGAATTCTTATACACATTTTTTCGCATTTAAATATTTTTTCCTTAATATTTTTTACAACAAAAATAAAAAAAAAACACAGTTGTTAAATTTTACGTTTACCTTTCCGCTTGGCAGGTGCGGAAAACTTTCGACAGAAATGCATGTGTATGCGTTTAAAAGTATATGAATGTATGTAGGCATATGTCTGCATGTGCTGTGTGCGCATAAAAATGCAGCGCAATTCACTTATGCTATGCAATGTGCTGTTCGTTGTGCAGTGTCTGTGTGTTGGTTTTTACACTCGTAACGCCTTTTATTCGATTGTTATTGAAATTGTTTAACGTTTATACATTTTTATCTACTTTTCTTTGTTGCATTCGTACCGCTTTATAACCACACTTTGCACATGTATTCATTGCAGACATGTGTGAGCGTACTTCCTGCATACCGTTACTCCGCCAACTGATTGCCCGTCGTGAAAATTACAGCTTAAAAGGCGCAATTGATATCGTTGAACGTTTTATAGCATGCTTTCAGGGGCAGTAATGTCTGCTATCACACATACACACAAAAATACTTAAAAATACAAAAAAAACACGTTAACTGCGGTTGCACCGAAGCTAGAAACCATTCACAAATAAAGTAGATTCCATTGAAGAACTATAGCTATAGCTATATGCTATAGTGGTTCGATCTGGAAAATTTCATCATATATGTAAGTACTGCCTTGAAAAATAATCGCTGCCAAGTTTTGTGGGGATATCTCGTCAAATAAAAAAGTTTTTCATACAAGAGCTTAATTGTTATCGTTCAGTTTGTATGGCAGCTTTATGCTGCAGTGTCCCGATCCGAAAAATTTATTCTGATTTAATAGCGTTGCCTCAGGCAGTAATCCATGCTAAGTTTTGTGAGGATTTTTTGTTAAATAAAAACAGTTTGCCAAACAAGAACTTGATTTGGATCGTTCAGTTTGCATCACAGCTTATGCTATAGTCGCCCGATATCGGCGGTTCCGACAAATAAGTAGCTTATAAGGAAGAAAAAGATGTATGTATGCAACATTTTAGAGCGATATCTCAAAAACGGAGTGACCAGTTCGCGTATATACAGGAGGACTGAGAGAAGGACAAGGCTAAATCAATTCAGCTAATTACGCTGATCATATATATATATATATATATATATACATATGTATGCATACATATATATTGAAGGGTCTCTGACGTGCCTTCTGCGTATTACAAATTTCTTGGCAAATTTATTATAACCCGTTCAGGGTATAAAGATAGTCACAAGCACACACACACACACACATACACAACTGCTACACACCGGAAACTATAACGGATACGTTTTCTCAATTTATTTCAATTTCAACATCGTTTGCATCAGCTTTGTACATATCAAACTAACTCTTGATCAACTTAAGCACTTATGGCTTAAACGTGCTTTTATGCATTGCAACTAAAAATTAAAGCAAAAAATCAAGCTCCTCTAATTTTAATGCATGAAAAATGTCTTTGATGTTTTTTGTTTTTGCTTTAAATATTTTATGTTAGTATGGAAAATTGCACTTACTTGCACCTCCGAATGTGAAATCGCCTATGATTTTTCGTTTTAGTTTATTTAGGATATCATATATTTTGAGTTGTTGTTGTTGTTAGTCCATGATAGCGAGCGATGAATGTGAAAACACAAAAACAAAATGGGAACAGAGAGAAAGAGAAATTGATTTGAGTAGCTAGAACACGTTCGAAAAAAACGGCAAAACTTTCAAAACTTCAAACACAAAAGCTTTTTTTTAGGATAACGAACAAAAAAGTTCACCTAATGTTAGGTAACAAACAAACAACGAAAAACTAATATTAAATACAATAAAAAATTGTTAGAAAAATCCTTTAAAAGACAGCATGTTAATAAGTTAGAGAGTTGAAAAGAGAAGAAGAAGAAGAAACAAATGCATTCATTAATGACATTTCAAAGCGAATTTGTTTAATAACTGGCAGAGCTTTAAAAAGCTCTTTCAAAAATACATATATATTTATATATATACAATACTTATGATATATAAAATGTGTTTATACAAATGAGTTAAAATAGCTTTTAGATTAACTAAATTAAAGCGTCACCTAGCTGAGCTTTTAGTTATAAACAAAATGTACTGAAGATTTTATACATAGTTATTTAATATATATTAAGCCTAAATCTACAAATCTACTTTGAAATTGTGCTGACAACTTATGATATATCGATTAAAGTTTTCATGTGAGCTTTCATAATTCAATTGTTCTAAAGTTGTTATACAAAGTTTGCTATACATATAAGCGCAAATCTGTAAATCTATTGTCAGATTGTTCCAGCTAAGACTTTTCCATTAAATAAAGCTTTCAAATGAGACTTCGTAATTCTAGTGATCTGCAGACTTTTTTATATAGTTTCTTACTTGAAGTCTAAATCTACGAATCAACTGTGAGACCGTGATAGCAAATGATGTTCTATTGCTTAAAGCTTTCATGTGTGCTTTCATGTTTAAAATACTTCAAAGGTTTTCTAAATAGCTAGGTGGCTAATCATGTTCTAATTGTTAAAGTTTTCATGTGCGCTTTCCTAATTCAAATAACTAAAAGTTAGAGAGTACCAGAAAACTAGTTGTACGTTTTTCGTAAAGGCAACGCTTTCAACCAATTAGGGAATTGTTTATTTTAAATTCGTATTTTTTGTGTGTGCTTTTAATTTTGATATATTTTCTCCATAAAGGCTGGTTTTTTTTATTTTTTCCATAATTTTTCCTTTAACAATTATTTAAGCAATTTTGCTATTTTTATGCTCGGGATTTTGTGTATAAAATCTAAATCTACAAAAGAGTTATCTAATATAAAAAATCTACACACTTCTTAATACTGCTTCCAACTTCTCACCACCGACTAAGAATCATTAAAAGCGTAAAAGCTCTCATGAAATATCTAATAAGCTCTTTTTATAGAGGCAAAATCTTTCGAGTAGGTTTAGATACGTTCCAATAAAGCTTTCAACGAAGCTGTCAACTTAGAAAATCGGTAATTTTGTTATTCTTCTTTAATAGGTGCTCCTATTTTTAATAAATGGTCTCCATAAAAGCTAAGCTTTTTTATAATTTCCATCATTTTAACATATTTAATTATCTAAGTTTTTTGCTCGGGATTTTGTATATATATTTTTTTATACGTAAAGTATACTTCTTATTTATATAATCATTACATTAATGTCTTTTTTACTTACTTGTCTCACCAGTGGTACAAGTCTCTGGTTTCGATGGCGGTCCACGTCCGATCGTATTTACCGCTATCACATAGAATTCATATTCGGTGTATGGACTTAAAGCTCGCACAACATAAAACATTGTTATGATGCCGCTAATTTCGCTAAAAGCCTGGGAAATGTAGAAGGTAAAAATGATTGATGAATATATAATTTTTGATCTGATATATAAAGTAATCAGTTCAGTTGTAAATTTAATTACGGTATATAATATATTGTCTGAGTTCAAATTAAAAAGCTCACAATAAACATGTTGGAAATGAAAGCTTTTTACCAAAACAAATACTTTTATGAAATGTAAGCTTGTTAAAAAACAACTCATTTTCCATTGAAATAACAACTTCTTTCGAGGTTTTGGGCAAAAGCTTTTTTAAAGTGAAAGCTTGTTGCTAATTACAGATTTGGTCGAAGCTTCTTCAAAATTCGCCATTTATTTCCATCTTACCTGATTTGCATTTTTTGGTTTGTACTGTATTACATAGTATTGCAAGTCTTCGGGTCCCTTGTAGGACCACTCCAAACGAACTGAGGTCGCTGTGACTTCTGAGATTTGCACGTCTGTTGGAGCAGCTGGAAGTGCTATAAGCGTACAAAAATAGAATGGTTATACAAGTACATAAACATGTGCTCATAAAGCTTTTTTCGCCAGTATTATAAAATAAGAAACATAAGAACTTTCGCACAACTTACATTGAACTTTCACCATCGCCGTCGCTTCAATTTGACCCAAAGACGAAGCTGCAATGCAGGTGAAATTCGCGCTCTGTTGTATATTTGTTAGTTGTAGAATGTTACGACCGATGGGTATATCGTTTTCGGGTGTTAAATCTTGGGCGCCTGAAAGCAGGAAAAAAATTTTATATATTATATTTTTTTGTTTTTCTGCTTTTGTGTTTTTTGTTTTTTAATTCAACCACAAATAATCTCGCTGTTCTCACCTTTCATCCATTTCACATGTGGCATTGGTGAGCCCACCGCAATGCAGGATAAATTCAAATTTGCTCCCAACATCACCTCGTTAATGGGCTCTGGTGGACGTGAAAATGTGGGCGGTACACGTCGTACTTTCACATACAAATTCGTTGCTTTCGAGTGTTCTGTGCCAACTGAATTCTCAGCGACACATTCATATTTGCCTTGATCCTCTTCGCGACTGTTTTCGATTTGTAAGCCACCTAAAAGTAGGCAATCGTGTAAAAAATGTTGTGCGTTAAATTTTTAGGCTAAAAAATTGAGAGGTTGTGATTTATAAATATTACTTTATGTTAAGTATTGCTCTAGAAAAGCATTCAGCCATGAAAAAAATATTGAATGAAGAAGAAAAAGTCTCTCCCAAGTCAATGGCGCTATAATTTTGTCAAACTCCTTCAGCCACATTGAGCACCATTAACAGCTAATCGAAATTCTCAACTCAAATTGCATTCCTTAACGCCACTTCAACCCGAACTGTGAGTATGTGTCATCATACATACATACTTAAGGGTATGTGAAGCCGAAGATATGAGCAAATTGATGTCTATTTTCATTTGTCAGCACAAGCTTTTCAAGGCTATCATTTACTCTACCTCGCCTTACAGCTTACCAATAGAGAGAAAATAATAAATAACAAATTTTTATGTTTCAATATTGACTCAAGACGAGTCATAAATATGTCAGAGAGTACAAAAGAGAAGCAGAGCGTGTGCGAGGGGAACTTACACTGCCATTAAATTATTTTAACGATCTTACAAGAACAACTGCTATAAACAAGAACAACAGCACTGCCATTATTTTTATGGACTTAAAGTATGGTGGATGAGATATTTATGTCTATTTTTTCCGCGGCTATTCGAATTACGGATTTTACATACATACATATATATATATATATATATATATGTGGGTGTGTGGTTGAAATGTGTTTAGGTGAGTGTGAAATCTTTTAACGACATATAATATTTATGGCATAATCATTATTTTATTAACGCAGTAATTTGAAGCTAATATGAATAAACGTAAATAAAATTTGTAAAATGTCGTATCTGTATGAATGTACATACATTAGGGTGGTCCTCAAAAATTAAAAAAAATTTTTTTTTAGCCGTTTTCGAAAGCCAATATGAATAAAATGGAAAAACCACAATTTTGTATATGTGTAAATGTATATGCGTTAAGGTGGTACTTAAAAATAAAAAAAACAGGGTTTTATACTATTTCGAAAAGTTTAATACAATAATTTGGCGATAATGCGAATAAGCAAAATTAAAATATCTCTTTATACTTAAATTTACATATTAAGGTTGCCCTTAAATAATAAAATAAACTGTAGTAAGTTGTTGCTTACGTAAATATAAATTAAAAAATTAATTTTTGAATATGCATATAAACTTTAAGGTGGTCGTCAAAGCTCAAATAACCTAATTGATGAATATTACGATGCACTTAATGCCGTAATATGCCCTTATTACGAATATATATAAATAAAAATAGTGCTTTATGTATACATTTACGCATTAGGGTGGCTCTAAAATAATCAAATATATATGCTTATGTTCGTATGATGCATTTAAGGTGTAAAGTGAAGTCTAATATTTATTAACACGAATTTTATATAGACTAAGCTGGTCCGAAAGTGCATATTTTTTCACTTTTATGGTACACTTAAAGCAGTAATTGGAAGCTATTTTTGAAAAATATAAGTACGTATATATTTTTTGCAAATACACATTAAGGTGGCACTTAAATAATCGAATAAATGCATTCAGATGCACTTAATCCAGAGATCCTGTTCTAGTATCAATAACCAAAGGTAGGATTGAGTTTTACAATATGTTTTCCCAGTCTCAGGCACTCAATCGGAACCAATACCATCAAAGCACAAATATTTAATACCTACTAAGGTGGTTCTTAAATAAACCAAAAATATTACACATAGAACTTGTTTCAAATCGGGTATGGTTAAAGTATTTCACACTGAGGCCCTATTATAATAGTGTTTAATTTTTCATTTACTATGTTCAAGATGATCAAGGTAAATGACTTTTCCTATCACGTGCTACTCGCCTATAATCGGGCTCTACAATGTGTATGTCTCAGCTTCGATTCATGTTATATAAGCTCAAAATAGAAAACAAAATTTTTTTTTTCAAAATCTATGAACCACCCTAATACTGATATTTGTACAGCTGAAGTTATAAATATTTTTAAAGCATAATTTACAGCGGGCTCAGTGTTTTAAGTTAAAAAGAAAATTTATGAAGTGGAAATTGCTAAAATCATTAGGGTGAGTTATTAAATAAATAATACAAGCATATATTGCACAATGATAATTCTACAGAAAATTATTTAAAGAGTCAATAAGGAAACTGACTACTACTTTCAGCTGACTACTGTTTCCAGCTCTATCTAATAAATTGGCAGCAATTTGTGAACCGCAAGAAAGAAAAGCATATACCAACCCCCACACACACACACATACATATACACAACGAACAACATCTTCTATACATTCACTATAATTTGTGCGGCATGAAATATTTTATAAATATTGCGACACTTGTGGCCTTCTGCCTTGTCGCCTACACACTACAGTGTACTTATCTATATGTTTGTGTTTGTGTGTGCATTAAATATTTTTTGCCAACATAAAGTGTGGTCAATATTGGCCGGGTCAACCGCAATATTGGCAATTTATGGCAAAAATATGTGATCAAATAACTTGAAAATGAACCGCCAATGCACAGCTGGTAAGTGTGACCACCAACTGCTGCTAAATGCGTGGCGTTGAAATAGCAGCACACGCACACATCGTAAAATTATTAATGAAGTTAAAGTGAAATTTTGCTACGCTGAAGAGCAAAGCATATATTTCGGCGTTAAAGCGTAGTTTTGCGGGAAACTATAGTGTGAAATTTATATTTGAAAATGTTGGCTGTGGCAATTATATGTCTTTAATGATTTTTAGTAACAAAAGTGTTGACAGTATAAATAACATATTTATGACTTTGCTTAAATTAAAAATGGTTGAAGTTTAGGTTATTAATAAATTTAGCATGTAATCTAATAATATTTATAGAAGCTTTGTAACCTTTCCATAGAAACTGTGAGCGGGACAAGTGTGTTATTTCTCTATAGAAATCAATCATATAATTTTGTGTGGAATAACATTTTTATGACTGGTAGTGCTAGTGGTATTTTGTATTGCTATAAAGGGTTATCTCCAACTGTGAATTTTGCATACAAAAGTATTTCGCATTTACATATATTTAAGTATGTATATTCTCCAAGAATTTGAAGTTGTGCCGATAAATGGTTTCAGAGATATGAGCGAATTTTTTATACCCTTTCAACATGTTGCTACAGAACAGAGTATAATAGCTTTGTTTCATTCTTACTTAGTGTAATTGGCTACCAAAACATTAAACAGTTTTTCCTGGAAACACTGGTTACAGTGAGAAATTTTTTTCCAAAAAGGCTGGACTGATGGACTTGAAATTTTTACACTACCTGGTTAGAAATATTTGTCAGGTAATTATCGAAGAGATACGATTTGATATTTTCGATTTTTAAAGTCACTCTGAAATGTAAATTTTATTCACGAAAAACTATATAAAATTACTGCTTTCACCATTAGCCTTACTCATCTATACACATCTATTATTTTCGTTGGTTTTTGAATTTGGGATTATTTAAGCAGAAAAATCTGTCGCACATCCAGACTCCGAAGGGTATCAAAGAAATCCAAACATTTTCAAAAAAAAAAATCGCCCATTATTAAATCAACTACATTAAATTTTGTAAATTAACTTTTTTAAAGTATTTAATAAATAAATACTTCTTCAAAATAAATTCATAAAAAAGCACGTTGCTGATCTCAGTCGATTTATTTCAAGCTAGTGTTCTCTGGAGGTCTGAGGACGGGAAACAGTTTGTGCGGTTCGCAGTTGTTTTCAAACACGTCTACTGACACATGTAATTCCGTTTTATTTGAAATGGCATTCGTTTCTAAGATTTCGACACATGACAAACGGCAATGCAGCTGCTTCAAAAAGTTCACAAACAAAAAAAGTTCAAGGAATTTGATTTGTGTGATAGCTTAAAAAACCACTGTATCAATTTTGTTTGAAAGTGCAAGGGTATAATTATATATATCTATACTAATATTATAAATACGAAATTCCGTTTGTTTGTTACGCTTTCACGCAAAAACTACTTAACCGATCATGATGAAACTTTGTACACATACTCTTGGAGGTGTCAGAATGGACATAGGATACTCTTTATTAAAAAATCTAAAAATTGTTTAAGGATTATTAAAAAAATTATTTTGGAGGATTTTATATGTTTGTAAAATAAATTTGAAAATTTTGAATTGTGAAAAAAAAAAGTTTGGCAGATATGATTGTTTGTCGAAAAATTAAAAAATGAAAGAAAACAAAAATTAATGAAAATGAAAGAAAAAAAATAATGGTATTGGTTTTCAATATGATCCTTTAGTTGAGTATTCTAATCATCCCTTAATTGTTATTGGCTCAATGGATAAAAAATGTCAGTATTGTGATGCTTTTAAATGGAAAGATGAAACTGCTGGAATGTGCAGCAGTACTGGTAAAGTTTCACTTCTATTACTTGGTGAACCAGAAGAACCTTTAAAAACTTTTTTGTTTAGTGTCACAGATGAGTCAAAACGATTTCTAAGTAAAATAAGGAAGTATAATTCTTGCTTTAAAATGACATCTTTCGGAGTTGATAAAGTGATAAGAATGCCTGGATTTTCACCAACCTTTACTGTACAAGGACAAATATATCATCAAATTGGATCACTATTTCCAGGAAATAATAATCAGCATACATTTTTGGAGGTGTATTTTATGGGTGATGAACAAAATGAAGTAAATCGTCGTTGCCAGTATATAGATGGAGTAGAAAGGGAGATATTATTAAAAATTCAACAAATGTTACGCAGTCACAATGATTTGGTGAAGATTTTTAAAAGTGCGATATACAACTGGCCTTCCGATAATTGCAAAGTTGTCATTCATGCTGATCGAAGTCCACGTGGTGAACATGAGAGGCGTTATAATGCACCGATGGTCAATGAAGTTGCTGTTTTGGTTACTGGTGACCCGTGCTCACCTCGAGGCATAGTGTTACGAGCACATGATAATGCGTTAAAGCGCGTAGCTGATACTCATAA